CCCTAACCCTAACCCTACCCTAACCCTAACCCTACCCTAACCCTACCCTAACCCCTACCCTACCCTAACCCTTACCCTAACCCTAACCCTAACCCTAACCCTACCCTAACCCTAACCCTACCCTAACCCTAACCCTACCCTACCCTAACCCTAACCCTAACCCTAACCCTAACCCTAACCCTAACCCTAACCCTAACCCTAACCCTACCCTACCCTAACCCTAACCCTAACCCTAACCCTAACCCTACCCTAACCCTAACCCTAACCCTAACCCTTACCCTAACCCTACCCTAACCCTAACCCTCTACCCTAACCCTAACCCTAACCCCCCCCTAACCCTAACCCTAACCCTAACCCTAACCCTACCCTAACCCTAACCCTAACCCTAACCCTAACCCTAACCCTAACCCTAACCCTAACCCTAACCCTAACCCTAACCCCTAACCCTTACCCTAACCCTTACCCTTACCCTAACCCTAACCCTAACCCTACCCTAACCCTAACCCTACCCTACCCTTACCCTAACCCTACCCTAACCCTAACCCTTACCCTAACCCTAACCCTAACCCTAACCCTTACCCTAACCCTAACCCTAACCCTAACCCTAACCCTAACCCTAACCCTAACCCTTACCCTACCCTAACCCTAACCCTAACCCTAACCCTAACCCTAACCCTAACCCTACCCTAACCCTAACCCTAACCCTTACCCTAACCCTACCCTAACCCTACCCTAACCCTAACCCTAACCCTACCCTAACCCTAACCCTAACCCTTACCCTAACCCTAACCCTACCCTAACCCTAACCCTACCCTAACCCTAACCCTAACCCTAACCCTAACCCTACCCTAACCCTAACCCTACCCTACCCTAACCCTAACCCTAACCCTAACCCTACCCTACCCTAACCCTAACCCTAACCCTAACCCTTACCCTAACCCTAACCCTAACCCTAACCCTAACCCTACCCTAACCCTAACCCTAACCCTAACCCTTACCCTAACCCTTACCCTAACCCTAACCCTAACCCTAACCCTAACCCTAACCCTAACCCTTACCCTAACCCTAACCCTAACCCTTACCCTAACCCTACCCTACCCTACCCTAACCCTACCCTAACCCTAACCCTTACCCTAACCCTAACCCTTACCCTAACCCTAACCCTACCCTAACCCTTACCCTAACCCTAACCCTTACCCTAACCCTAACCCTTACCCTAACCCTAACCCTAACCCTAACCCTTACCCTAACCCTAACCCTAACCCTAACCCTAACCCTTACCCTACCCTAACCCTAACCCTAACCCTAACCCTTACCCTAACCCTAACCCTAACCCTACCCTACCCTAACCCTAACCCTAACCCTAACCCTAACCCTTACCCTAACCCTAACCCTAACCCTTACCCTAACCCTAACCCACCTTACCCTAACCCTAACCCTACCCTACCCTAACCCTTACCCTAACCCTAACCCTAACCCTAACCCTAACCCTACCCTAACCCTAACCCTAACCCTAACCCTACCCTAACCCTACCCTAACCCTACCCTAACCCTACCCTTACCCTAACCCTAACCCTACCCTACCCTACCCTTACCCTAACCCTAACCCTAACCCTTAACCCTAACCCTAACCCTAACCCTAACCCTAACCCTAACCCTTACCCTAACCCTAACCCTAACCCTTACCCTAACCCTTACCCTAACCCTTACCCTAACCCTTACCCTAACCCTAACCCTAACCCACCCTAACCCTTACCCTACCCTAACCCCTAACCCTACCCTACCCTAACCCTAACCCTAACCCTTACCCTAACCCTTACCCTAACCCTAACCCTAACCCTACCCTACCCTAACCCTAACCCTAACCCTAACCCTTACCCTAACCCTAACCCTAACCCTTACCCTAACCCTTACCCTAACCCTACCCTAACCCTAACCCTAACCCTACCCTAACCCTACCCTAACCCTAACCCTAACCCTAACCCTTACCCTAACCCTAACCCTAACCCTAACCCTAACCCTACCCTAACCCTTACCCTAACCCTAACCCTAACCCTACCCTACCCTACCCTAACCCTTACCCTAACCCTTACCCTAACCCTAACCCTAACCCTAACCCTAACCCTACCCTAACCCTTACCCTAACCCTAACCCTAACCCTAACCCTAACCCTAACCCTAACCCTAACCCTAACCCTAACCCTAACCCTAACCCTAACCCTAACCCTAACCCTAACCCTAACCCTAACCCTAACCCTAACCCTAACCCTAACCCTAACCCTAACCCTACCCTTACCCTTACCCTAACCCTAACCCTACCCTAACCCTACCCTAACCCTAACCCTAACCCTAACCCCTAACCCCTACCCTAACCCTTACCCTAACCCTAACCCTAACCCTACCCTACCCTACCCTACCCTACCCTAACCCTAACCCTAACCCTAACCCTAACCCTAACCCTAACCCTAACCCTAACCCTAACCCTAACCCTAACCCTTAACCCTAACCCTAACCCAAAACCTGCTCCTGACCAGGTTAGATTCATAGACTCAGTTACCATAGTAACTGACTCAGAGGTAAATTAACCTCTCCCTCTAGAACGGGCTGGACTTACCCCTCTTTCCTCGGGTTTGAGGAACCTCCTCTTCTGAAACGGATAACCCAGAGTTTCCCTCATTTCAGGGTTAACGGACTCAGAGTTTACACAATACCTTCTTTCAGAAACTGGGCTCCAGTGTGCTGTACCATTGAATGACTTTGTCACTATGTGTCTGTGGCCAGCAGAGGGCGCTGTTTGCTAACATTACAGCAGCTGCTGTCAGTCTATGCACATCAGAGAAGCTGTGATTGAAATGTGGTGACCTGTTCAGCTGAAAAAGGTAACAAGGTTACCTCAGACTGAGATGTATAAGTCTGACATTTACAAGTCTAGGTAACATCACCTTTCTAGCCTTTTAGAAATCCACATAGAAAGGAATCTGAAGGCTGTACCTGTTGTGTGTCTATCTTAATACTGAATTACATTGAATCATGAAGCTTCTACTTTCACTTGCTTTATTGTCCGAACCTCAAACCAACAATGTCTTGTTCCCATATGGTTTTACTTCCTGTTTCCTTTGACTTGTCTAACATCAAGTACATCCCTCCTTTTCTTGGAAATAAACTTAATCCAATGGTGTATTATTTTAATGAACTTTCAACCCAGCACTAATATCATTTGCACATCAGAGAGTCTTTTAGGTGTCCTCTTGACTCTCTGAGGCCACTGGTCTATCTGAACTTTATAAATCCTGTTTTGGTGTCTGAGTGACCATTGTCTGTGGCCCAAGCTCGATGTCCACCCTCACACACTCACTGACTTTGGTGTGTGTTCGCAGTAAGTCTGTGAGGGCTTAGTGCTGTCCCACTGTCAAATCATCAAGTGTTTGAGGGCTCTCTCGCTGACTTTACGAGCCCTTTATGCACCCTGTCCGTAAGTGAGCATATCTGCAGATTTAACGTGAGGAAATTACCCAGAGTTCATAACAATGTGACCAATGGGAAGCCGACAACAACTGAAAGGTAAACAAACGCCATAAACAGAAAAAAGGTAGAGACGGAAGGTGAAACCACGCTCTATTTACAGTACTCTACTGCGAATCAGAGAGCATATTAGTCCTTATATACTGTTATATATATATATAGATATCTATATACTTTTATATGTTTATATATATAGATATCTATATACTTTTTTATATATATATATATCTATCTATCTCAACTCTACATCAGTACAAACATGTGTTCATGTTACAGAAAAGAGTTTATGCAGCTTCAGTTGCAGACAAATCTATAAAGCAGCTTATGGCCATTTCAATACAGGAAGGTGAGTGTTTGCCCCGAGTGAAGGACTTTGACTATCTCTGGGTATCTCGGGTCTCGTTCACAGTGAGGCTGAGATGGAACATGACATTGACGGATGGATTGGTTCAGGTTGGTCAGTAATACGTTGTACCAAACCTTCATGGTGAAGAGGGAGCTGAGCCTGAAGGCTCTCCAGTAATTGCTCCATCTTTGTTCCAACCTGTGGAGACCTAAAGAATAAGATCCTGGATACAAGCGTTGTAAAGTTCTTGTCAAAGTCATCTGGTATTTCTTTGTTTGTGAACTAGATGCTAAAAAACTTTAAAGGATTATAATAATGAAGAATATATTACTGATCATATGAAAACAACAAAACAAACAGAATCATCAATCAATCATTATTTATCTGGAGACGCTTTAGAAGAAAAGCTTATGGGACAATATGCAGTAAGAGTTTCTCCTTTGTGTTCCTCGTGTTCCTGCTGTCCTCACTTCCTGCCTCTGAGTAATCTGTGACAGACTGTGATAGTAAAACAACTCTGCTTCTGGTCTGGTACATTGTGTGTTTTTATATTCACTCATTATAAGAGCATTATTTATTGCTGATCTGTCATGCATCATTTGTTACGTCTTACAAGCTCCACCCACTCAGTGACCCTTGATTGTACTGTGGATGTTGATAGGTGTGTGTGTGTCTGTCTGTGTGTGTGTGTGTGTGTGTGTGTGTGTGTGTGTGTGTGTGTGTGTGTATGTATGTACTCATGTTTTTTTACACAACTGATGTTTCTAATACATAAATAAAGTTATTTGAATTTGAATTCAATTCTATTTAGGTGTGTATTTTTACTTTGAAATAATAGTGGTATTATCAGAAGAAACAGCATTTGAAAGGGTTGAAATTATGAAAATTAATATTAGTTATGAACAGTCACTTTGATTAGAAATTTAATTTAATTTATAAAAATTCTTGGCAGTCATTTCTATGATGGTTCTACTTTCTGGAGTTTCTGCTACGTGTCGCATTTATTTTAAGGGTGAATCCGCCAGAAAAACTAGACTAGAAGAAATCCATAGTTCGCCATCCCTCCTCCACTCCGCTAGGTGGCGGTGTGCATCAAATCGTTGGATGTCAACCGCTAGAAAACACGAGAAAGAAAAAGAATACGAAGAAGAAGAATCCCGCATGTGTAGTGTTGTTTAGAAGCAACATGGCGGCTCCTCTTGAGGTGATAGTGAGCAGTGACTCCGGTTCTCAGCTCTGGAACTGCACCGTGTTCGACCTGCACAGCGGCTCCAGCCTGCTCTCTTACCGGGGAGGGAACAGCTCCGCCCGGACTCTCACCGTGCTCAGCGGGGGGCAGCTGCTGTCCGCGCAGCTGGGGAAGAACTTCATCAACGTGTGGGAGATCCAGAGAAAGGTGTGTGTGTGTGTGTGTGTGTGTGTGTGTGTGTGTGTGTGGTGTGTGTGTGTGTGTGTGTGTGTGTGTGTGTGTGTGTGTGTGTGTGTGTGTGTGTGTGTGTGTGTGTGTGTGTGGTGTGTGTGTGTGTGTGTGTGTGTGTGTGTGTGTGTGTGTGTGTGTGCGTGTGTGCGTGCGTGTGCGTGTGTGTGTGCGTGTGCGTGCGTGTGTGTTCAGATCAGGGTTGAAACACATGACTTCCTGTTTGTCTGCAGGATCAGCTCCAGCAAAAGATCGTGTGTCCAGGTGTGGTCACCTGTCTGACCGCTTCACCCAATGGTGTGTTCCTTGCTGCCGCCATCACTGAGGCTGTTTACCTGTGGGAGGTGAGTCTGCTTCTTTTCAAATCTACAGTAAATGAAACTCTGTTGTCTGATTGGCTCAGGTGTTTATTCACTGTCATCTCATTGGCTCAGGTGTCTACAGGTAAACTGCTGTCGGTCCTCAGTCGTCATTATCAGGATGTCACCTGCCTCAAGTTTACAGATGACAGCAGCCATTTTGTTTCTGGAGGAAAAGACAACCTGGCCCTGGTGTGGAGTCTGT